AAGAAATAGATTGTTATTTTCCAAACCATTGTACATTTTATAATTCATTTGTAACACTTCTGATGTGACTTAAAAATTTCAGAATTTAACAGCATGTTTATCCTCTAAGATATTCAGTTTGCACATGCAGACAGAGAAATTCCTACAAAGTCCACATAAAGAACCAAATTTGTTCTGTCCCTATTATATAACAATGCTTTTAACTAAGCTCTCCAATGCCTTATCCACCTAAACTGGCATTCTGTAGTTCTTAGTAGATTCCAATAACAATGAACACTTTTTGAGCGCTTACCATATTTCAGTTCCTATGCCAAGAAATTCATATTTGTTAACTGATATCTAAGTAATAATACTTTGATAAATTAACTACTTAACTAAATATCTTTTATACATAATATTTTTGAAACTGCATTTAAAAGTTACATGTCAAAAAGTTGATAAAAACAGACATGTTATATTGGCAGCAGGTGTGCACAGGTTCAATTCCCAGAGAGCTAACTCATATTACAAAATTCCACATTGAGGTTCCTGTAGGCAGTGCCACCCTCAGGCCAGGCAATCCAGCATGCAAGTGGAGGCGTCAAAGGCATCTTGAAACCTAGTGTCAGAAGACAGTCTGCCCTTTTGGAGATATCAGTTAATACTCCTACCTCTGTGTGGGAACTGAGCCAGATATTTCGCATTCCCACAGAACTGCCATCACTGCCTCCAAGCCTTTTGTAGAGGCCAGTATTTACACCATCACCTCCCCAGGTGCTGAGGCTTTTGGACTAGGAGTGGAATTACATCACTAGCTTTCATAGGTATCTAACTTGCATACAGAAGATCGTGGGACTTCTCAGATTCCATAATCATATGAATCAATTCCATATATTAAATCTATCTCTCTGGATATATATATAGGTATAGATTTTGTAGAGATAAAAGAGAGAGAGAGAGAGAGAGAGAGAGGAGATGAGATGATGGAGGTAGAGACAAAGACAGAGATATATAGATCTTATTGGCTCTATTTCTCTGAAGAACCCTGATCAATACAGACATCAAGCCATAAATCTAAGAACATCAAAAGCAATGCAGAATAAATACAAAAAGGGTATATATAGGTATAGATTTTGTAGAGATAAGAGAGAGAGAGAGAGAGAGAGAGAGATGAGATGAGATGATGGAGGTAGAGACAAAGACAGAGATATATAGATCTTATTGGCTCTATTTCTCTGAAGAACCCTGATCAATACAGACATCAAGCCATAAATCTAAGAACATCAAAAGCAATGCAGAATAAATACAAAAAGGACTACATCTAGGCATATCGTAGTTAAACTACTGGAAACCAAAAATATAGAAAAAAATCATTTAATGAAACAAAAACAATGACACATTCGTTACTTTCAGAGGAACAAAATAAAAATTACAGCTTACTTCTCATCAGAAGCAATGGAGGCCAAAAGATAATACAATGACATTTTTAATGTTATGAAGGGAAAAATATTCTCAATCCAAAATTCTATGTCAAGCGAATAATATCTGTGAACAATAATTAAATTTTCAGATAGGCACAAAGGCTGAAAGAATTCACAAACAGCAAACTTTCATATAGGAAAGGCCTCAGGAGGTTTATCTGGATAAAAGAAAATGATACCAGATGGAAGCCCAAATCTATGAAAAGGAATGAAGATCATCAGAAAAAGTAAGTATGTAGATAAACATTTTTGCTATTTTTATATGTAAATATTCTAAAACTTATTTTTAAATTGCTGGCTTTTTAAAGTATAAGTAAAATGATATTGGGTAAGGAATATAACATATAGAGAAGTAAAATAAATGACTAATACAAAACATGGATATCGCAGAATTCACACTGTAAAGTTTTTACATTTCCCATAAAATAGATAACTATTTTGAGGGAGACCATAATAAATTAAGCAGGCATACTGCAATTAGTAGAATAACCACTAAAACATAATTTAAAGAGGTGCAACAAAGATATCGATAGCAGAGAAAAAAATTAATAGTAAAAAAGTCTACATGCCACCCTGAACACACCCGACCTCATCTGATCTTAGAAGCTAAGCAGGGTTGGGCCTGGTTAGTACTTGGATGGGAGACCACGTAGGAAGACTGGGTGCTGTAGGCGGGAAAAAAAAAAAAAACTTGAATAACCCAAAAAAAGCAGAAATGGAAATCATAGTAATACGTATAAATATATATGTGTTAATATGTACCAAAGTAGACTTCATGACTAGAGATAAAAAAGAAACATCTTATAATGATAAAGCATCATTCATCAAGAAGATGTAGCAATAACAGAGCCATGTGAAGCAAAGATTGACATAACTAAATAGGTAAATAGACAAAATCACAAACATAATTGAAGATTTTAGCACTCTTTTGTCAGTAATTGATAGCACAAAAAATCAAAAACAGATCATTAGAGATATAAACAATTTGAGTACTATCAGCCAACCTGACCTAATTGGCACTAACAGAACACTATAACCAACAACTGCAGGACACACATTCTTAAAAGGTATGTGGAGCATCACCATGACAGGCTATGTACTGGAAAATAAAACAATTCTCCATACGTTTCAAAAGATTAAAACTTTAAAATCATGTTTTTTAAGACAATATAAATAAATTAAAAATCAATAAATTTTCTTAAATATAGCCTAGTACTTGGAAACTAAGAAACACTTCTCAATAGCTCATGGGTCAAAGAAGAAATCAAAAGTAAAAATTGATTTTATTTTTAATAGAATGATGTTAATACATATCAGTGTTTCACCTAAAGCATCACTTATAGGGAAATTCATAGTACTGAATGGAGTATATTAGTGAGGAAAAGACTTTAAATTCAATCATCTAATCTAACTCTTACAAAAGTTGAAAAAAGAAGAGCAATTAAAACCAAAGAATGTAGAAAAACATGAAATTTTAAAAATAGAAGCAAAAACCAACGAAGCAGAAAACACAATAGAGAAAATCAACAAAGCCAAAAGACAGGCCTTTAGAAAAAGATTAATAAAATTGCTAAGTATCTAAAGGAGTAATCAAAGGGGGAAAAAAACAAAGTGCAAATTACTAACATTATAAATAAAAGATGAACATGGCTTCAGAGCCAGTAGATATTAAGAATAAAAAGAAATTATTATGAACAACTTTATGCCAATAAATTTGATATTTGAAATAATATGGTCAAATTCCTTGAAAAACACACTTTAAAACTGACACAAGAAAAAAAAAAGTAAAAATCTGAGTAGCCATATGCTATGAGCTGAATTGTGAACCCCAAAATTCTATGTCGAAATCCTAACCTCCAGTACCTCAAGATGTGACTCTATTTGGAGCTGGAGTCATTAAAGAGGTAATTAAGTTAAAAGGAAGTTATTAGATTAGGCTCTAATCCAACATGACTAGTGTCCTTATAAGAAAAGGAAACTTAAACACAAATTTACTGAGAGAAAAGACCATATGAAGACAGGCATAAGACAAGCCAAGGAGAGAAGCCTCAAAAGAAGCCTGCTGACACCTTGATTTTGGATTTCTAGCCTCCATAATTGTGAAAATACAAATTTCTGTTGTTTAACCCACCCAGTCTGTGGTACTTTGTTATAGCAATCCTAGACTTAATATACCATACTTCTAATAAAGAACTGGAATTTGTAATGAAAAACTTTCACACACATAAAACCTTAAGGCCCTGATGGTTTCTCTGGTGGATTCTATCAAACATTCAAGGAAAAAATAATACTAATCTTATACAAAATGTTTTAGAAAACAGAAAAGGACAAAAACACTCTGAATTCATTTTATTAAGGCAGCATATCCCTTTATAACAAATCTACCAAAGTCGTTACAAGAAAATTCCACACCAATTGTCCTCATAAATGGCACTGAAACCTCAACAAAATTTTAGCAAATCAAATCCACCAATATTTAAAATAAATAATTCATATGACCAAGTTGGACTTATCTAAAGAAAGCGAAAATGGTTTAATATTCAAATATCAATCAATGTAATTCACCAAGAAAATGAAGAAATAATACATTTACTTCAATAGACTTTTTTAAAATTAACAATATTCAAAACACATTTGTGATAAAAAATTCTCAGCAAATTTGGAGTAGATAGGAATTTTCCAAATCTGACAGAAGTCATTTATGGAAAGAACTAACAACCTACAAATAATAAAACACTAAAAGCTGTTATCCTAAAACTGGGGATAAGATAAAGATGTCTAGTCTCACCACTTCTTTGCGGCACAATACTAGACATCCCAACCAGTGTAAAAAAGCAAGAAAACAAAATAGAGAGCCAAATATTGGAAATAAATTACCAGTATTTGCAGATAACATTACGGTATATGAAGAAAATTCTAGGGAACCTCCAAAAAATCTACCAGAACTAATAGGTATATTAGCAAGGACCCAGAACACAAAAATGATATATGAATATTATATTTAAATGCTACTAACAGACAATTAGAAAGTATACTTTAAAAAACAATACCATTTACAATACCATCAAAAACTATCATATACCAAGGACTAACTCTAACAAAAGAAAGACAAGATCTTTACACTAAAAAACTATTGCTGGAACTAATTAAGACTTAATAAATGTAAAGATATACCACATTCATAAAATTGGGAGACAAACTGATAGGTTTAATACAATCCCAATTAAATCTCAGCAGATGATTTTATAGAAAATGACAAGCAAGTTCTAAAACTTAGAAAGAAAAAGGACCTAGAAGAATTGAAGCAATATTAAAAGAGAAGAAAAAAGTTTGGGGACTTATATTACCTTATTTCAAGGATACAAGAATTATGTGGTATTGACATAAAGACAGACATACCTATCGAAGGAACAGAATAGACTATACATCATATATGGTCATTTGGTTTTTTAAAAAAATATTAAGTTAATTCAATAAAGAAATTATAGTCTGCTCAATAAACTGTGTTGTAGAATATAAAGAGGACTTCTTTAAAAAATATAAAGACAAAAAATGTTTTAATGGGTAAAAGAACTGAAGGAACACTTCAAAAGGGAAGATATAGAAATGGCCAATCAACATACAAAATGTTCCTCAAAATCATTAGCAATCAGAGACATGAAAATAAAACCACAGTGTGATAATGTTTCAATCTCACTCGAGTGGCAAAGATGTGGAATAAATGGAACTCCATGCATTGCTGGTTAAGATTGTAAAATCATACAACCCTGTGAAAAACTGTTTGACAATTTCTTACACAGTCCTGTGACACAGCAGTCCCTCTCCTAGGTGTTTACACAAGAAATATAAAAATATACATCCATACAATGACTTTCACAAAAATGTTTTAGCACCCTTATTTATAATAGCCCAAACTAAAAACAAGGCAAATGTCCAGCTCTGAGAATAAAAAGACAAGTAGTGGTGTATGCATAGGATGGAATACTACTCAGCATTTAAAAGGAATGAACTGATACACACAACAATACAGATGAATCTTAAAATCATGTTGGGTCAAAGAAGCCAAACCCAAAAAAGTACATACTGTATAATTCGATTTATATGAAGTCCAAGAATATGCAAGACTAATCTATGTTATTCCTGGTGTTGAAAAGGCAGGAGAATGACTAGAAAGGGGTACAGGGGAGCTTTCCAGGTGATGCAATGTTCTATATATTGATTTGGTTGGTGATTACACAGGTATGTACAATAGTCAAAATCTTTTAAACTATACACTTAAGGTATGTTAAGTATACCTCAATTTTAAAAATTAAACAAAAAAACCTGTGAACACTAAATCAATTTAAAAAGTATCTGGACTTCATCAAATATCAAAGAATTTAGTTTCAGGATGAATTTATGAGCAAAGGATTAAGTACTCATTTTTTTCTGGCCTACTTTTTGGTCCATCCATTACCATGTTTGTAAGATATTCATTGGTGTCCATATTTTGCCAAATGCAAGCACTAATATGTAAACTAAATTAAAAGACCCCAGAGCACATATGCATACACACATTTGGAAATACCCCTTTTTAGAAGCATTATGAGTGTTTTTTGACATCCTTTTTTAATAATTTGAAAACATATGTCTTCAATTACCAGTACTATAAGCTTTCAAAATTGTGGGAGTAATACAAACTAGTTCCTTCAAAGACAACTGAATTAAATATACGGAGGAAGCATAGATTAGGATCATGATTTTTATCTATCTTACGAGAGCAGAATAAGAGAAAGGGTTACAATTTTGTCATATTATGCAACTCTTCTGCCCCAATATATCAAAAACTTGATGAGCCAAGCTCATGCAAGACAGCTGAGAAGGAATCAAAGTAAACAGTATACCTTGTTGCCAATTGAGCCTGCCAATATGAGATTAGAACTCTCCATCCTAGCAAGAAAATGTCTTTGGAAAGTTCTTTACAACATTCTATGACTCACAGATATTCCCAGAGGTTCCTGTTTCCATCCTGCAGTAGACAGTATTTGAAGACGTGCAGTTCTAGTCAACTGTTGTTCTTAGGCAACTTGGCGGAAAGCTCTGTTTAAAAAACATTTGTTGGAAAATTGATATGTTTGCATGTTTTCTTTTTTTTAAACAAAATTCCAAATCTTAAATGTGTTTAACTCTTAATTCAACACTGACTTAAAGAATAACCTAAGAATTACTGTGTCAGCTAATATGTATTATGATCTCAGCAATTTTCCCATTTGAAAACTCCCAAACCAGGGAGTACATATTCTTGGCATTGCCCCCCTTGCATAGCCTTCCAAACTACCTCCAGATCCTTGGCTCTGTAATCAATAGTTCTGGCTCTGATCTTGGCCACCCAGTTCAGTGTCTCACCTTGGCTTCTACTTTGACCAATACTGCCAAGTCAACTCCCAACCCACGAGGACTTGATTCCTGGCTAATGACCACTTTTGTCTAACCCCAGTTCTCTCTTTCTGTTTTATGTATCAAATACCACTCCTGAGGCATATTTCCCCCCATACTCATCTAACTCTATTCCATTCTAGTTACTAATGATTAGTATTCTTCACCCCAAAGCCTATTCTCTACTTCTAGCCAGCTCCCCCATCATTTATATATGGTCTTGTTTGTTTCCTGACAACAAGTATAATGATATGGACATGAGGAAAGGTATAATATTATAGAATATTTTAGCATTATCCCAATAAAAGATATTCCTTAATTTAATAGGCATGTTAATTGAAGAAGCTTGATCTCTCTTGACTACTTAAGTAACTGATTCCTGCTCTACTCCCTAGCCCAATCCTCCAACTCTTCTTTACTCTTGGCATTTCCCTCCCACATGCTTTCTCTGAAAGGCAGGTCCTCTCCCAGGTTCCACACCCATCACTCCTTTGACTCTGTTGTGGATCAGACTCTGCACAGATGCAGCAAATTGGGTCCAGTCCAGACACATTTAGTTTGACTTACACAGCATTTTAGATTTTTTTCAGTTGTTGACAATATTTAAAAATTGGAACAGTAAGCCTAAAAGTAGAGATTTCCAAAGAAAATGAACACAGACTATCAAAGAGATATCAGCACCCCCGTGTTCATTGCAGCATTATTCGTAATAGCCAAGACATGGAAGCAACATGTCTATCAAGGGATGGTTAAAGAAGACATGAGATAGATAGATAGATAGATAGATAGATAGATAGATAGATAGATAGACAGACAGACAGACAGACACACACACTCACACGAGAGAGAGAGAGAGAGTGTGTAAACCCTGCCATTTGCAACAACCTGGATGGACCTTGAGGGCATTATGCTAAGTAAAATAAGCCAGACAAAGAAAGACAAATACTGCAAGGTATATTTATAGTCTGCCTTTAGAAATTAAAAAAAAAAAAAAAAAAAAAAAAAGTAAAACTCATAGAAACAGAGAATGGAAAATTGGTTGCCAGGAACTGGGGGTGAAAGAAATAGGGAGAGGTTAATCAAAGAGTATAAACTTTCAGCTTCAAGATGAATAAGATCTGAGGATCTAATGTGTAACATGATAACTACAGTTGATACTGTATTGTATAATTTTTAAAATTTTCTAAGAGAGTAAAACTTAAATGTTCTCATACACACACACGCACACACAAAGTTAAAAATGTGAGGTGACAGGCGTGTGAATTAACTAAATAGGGGAAATCTTTTCACAATGTATATGTATATCAAATCATCACAAAGTACACTTTAAAGATCTTACAATTTTATATGTCAACTACAGAAGAGATGACTTTTTTTTAAATGAGGAGTTATTTGTTTAAGTTCAGGTTTGGAAAATTTAGTTTCAAATCTGTTCCCATAAATAAAGTTTCATTAGAACACAGGCATGTTCATTTGTTTATGTTTTATCTATGGCTACTTTTGTACTACAATGGCACAGTTGAGTAGCTGTGACAGAGACCATATGGCCAAAAATATTACAAATAATAACCAAAGCCAAAAATATTTACAACCCGGCCCAGTATAGATAACATTTCCTACTTCTGTTCAAGATGGTCCTCAACACTGGATGCCCCATCCTCAAAGATTCTAACATGATTAGTGTCCAGTGGATGCTGGTGTCCAATGCCCAGAGATTCTGATGTGATTGGTCTGCACTGGGTGCTGACATCGGCATTTTCAAGCTCCCAGATGATTCTGATATACATACATGTTTGTGAACCCCTCAATTGGATAACCTGGATGTCTTCAACAGTCTATGATTCTTTGTTCTCTGGGAATATATACTTCCTCTATTTAGATAGGAAAAGACTATGTTATACTGACCTTCCAAAGCGTTCTCAGCAACACAGAATAGCATATTACTTTGCATCATCAGAAAGACATCTAGATCCTGAATTAGTACTTTATAAAAATAGATTTCAGGCTCCAACACAGATTTATCAAATAAAAGTCTCTAAGAGTTAATAATGTGGAAAAGCTCCCCTGATGATTCTGATGAGTAACTAGATTTGAGAGCTACCATTCAACAATGATGAGGACATTCACACAGCTACATTAACTGCAAGCTCAAGTAGGGCTGAAATGTCCATGATAGCCTCTCATCCTCCAGGGTTTCTCTCTACATGGCTTCTAACCATTCAGAAGTTTAGTGTGAACATCTTTAAAGCATGGCAACTAGGCTTCAAAGGGTAAGGACAAAGAAGCTGCAAGCCCCTTCAGGCCTGGACTACGACATCCCAGCATGTCACTTCTGCCACATTCTATTGGTTAAAGCAGTTCAAAAGTATAGCCCATATTGAAGAGGACGGGAAGTAAATTCCATCTCTTGATATGAAAAGCAGCAAGCATGTACAGGCAGGTGACGTATTGATGGCATCCATCTTTGGAGACTACCAGAAGAAACTAGTAAGAGAGAAAAGAAAGTAAAGCGAGGATGACAGTCAAGTGTTAGGATGGTGGAAGGAATATAAAGGTATGAACAGAAGAAGTATGAACAATGGAAATGGGCATCGGTCAGGAAGGTTTCTCAAAGAAACCTTTCAACTAAGACATTTAAACTGAGATATCTGTTGTGGTTTTGTTTTTTTGTTTTTTTTAATTAGACATTAGTTTAGAACTGAGTTAGGCATTAACTACACGAAAAAAGTGAAAAAGAAGTGAAGCATTCCAAAGAGGAAGGAACTTGTGGAATGCAGAGGTATGGAGCATGATGAGAGCCAGAAGCTGTTAGTAGCTTGGTAATAGTAGAGCAAAGATACATGTAGATAGAGTAGTTTCCCGACAGGCAGCTTTACCTAAAGACCTAGAGCTTATGGAAGACAGGCTAGAGATACGGACTTAAGTGTCTTCAGAACATAAATGGTGGCAGAAGGCCAGAAAGTGGACTAAAATTGGGTCACGTGGGAGAGAAAATACAGTGAATAGAGCACAGGCCAGGAACAGAGCTCTGAACATCATTGATATTTGAGATTTTACATAGGAGATATGAGAAATAGCAGTAGGAGGAGTAAGAAAATAACTTATTACAGAAGCATCTAAGAAGAGAGAATTTTCAGGAAGAACGGATTGTCCAACAGTGTCACAGAAAATGGATCAAGACAAAAGCAGAAAAATGTGTATTTGATTCGATGATATGCGCGGGTCAGTGGTAAATTCAAGCGTTGTTTCAATAGGTAGGGAGCAGAAACTAGATGTAGGGGGTTTAATAGAAAAGAATCGAGACAGTAGAAATCAGAATATGCAAGCACTGCTATGAATAGAAGGAGAGAAGGCTGAGGGATCTAAGAGTCAAAATGTTATTAACATGTTGACTGGTATACATCACTACATTAATAAGTGTTGACTGAATGTGAATGAATGAATAAATATATGATATAAAGAAGTACTTTACTTTCATAGGAAGGCAACAAGTTCTTTAATTATGGCCCTTCCAAATTAAAGTTCTTGGCCATGGCACATTAATATAATCATGATTAGTTCAAAGAAACCCATGTATTACTTTACTTATGCTCATTTCTTGCCAAATGCTAACAAATCCTTGCAATGAACACATGAGCAGCTAAAGGAAGCTTGAGGCAAAAGAAAGAAAATCAAACTGAGTACTGCTCCAGGTTCCTAATCACTTACTTACATGACCTTGAGTAAGTCCCTTCATCTCTCCAGGTTTTGGGTTGCTTTCTATATAATGGAGTATGATCTAGATCAAGGAGAGAAAATAGGCATCAAGTCATTTCAGTAATTTGTAAAACCTTACTAGAACCCCACTGGCAAGTATTAAGTATTTTTGCAAGGAGTAGTTACTAGCAGCATTAACATCGTTTTTTGCTTTGATTGTATCTCAAGGTGTACATGCATTTCACAAAACATTCCATATCAAGTAGTCAAAATCATCACAACATACTACATGCTAAAGGCCCAAATCGGGGAAATACTTTAAAAATATAAATCAGAAACACAATGCAATTAATTTGCTACTTGCTTTGTCCTATTTTCAACATTAAATAAAATTTGAAATATATATGACCATATATATGTAACAGACAAGTCAGGAAAACAGAAACCACTCTCAACAGAGGATTTAATGGAGGAAACTGGTTTCACAGGTATGGAGGGCTGAATAAGCAAAAAGGGAACACTGAGGTAACTCAGGAAGCGGCCACAATGACTGAGGTTAGGAGAACAAAAGGGAAAATGTGGGGATAACCAAAATCTAAGAGCTAGAAGAATGAGCCCAGGATTTGATGCTTTAAAGAAGAGGTTTAGACATGGACAATAGACTAGTGGTTACCAGAGGGGAGAGGGGAAGGGGGTAGAAGAAAAGTAGATGGGGTAAAAGGAGTCAAATAAGTGGTGACAGAAAGAAATCTAACTATGGGTGGGGAACACACAATGCAATATATGCCTTACTGCTAAATTGTACACCTGAAACTTGCTGGATTTCACTAACCAATGTCACCAAAAAAATTTTTAATTAAAAAAATAGTTTTTTAAATACAGGCTTCCAAAACTAATTCATTTAAAGGAAGAAGAGGAAGAGAAAGAGGAAGAAGGAAGAGGAAGAGGGAGGAGGAAGAAGAGGAGGAAGAGGAGGAAGAAGAGGAGGAAGATGAAGAAAGAAAAGAAGGAGAAGAAGGAGAAGGAGGAGGAGGAGGAGGAGAAGAAGAAGAAGAACAAGAACAAGAACAAGAAGAACAAGAACAAGAACAAGAAGAACAAGAAGAAGAACAAGAAGGAAGAAGGAAGAAGGAAGAAGGAAGAAAGAAAGAAGAAAGAAAGGAGAAAGAAGAAAGAAGAGGAGGTGGAGGCTTAGGCTGGCTCCTGCTGGTACCTCTGAGGTAACACGATGAGGCTGGTTCTGGAAGTGCCAAATGAAGTCACTTCCAGAGCTGGGGCCACCAGCTGATGCTTGGGAGAAATGCTATTTTCGAATCAAGGCCAAGAAGAATGGTACAAATTGAAAAAACAGGAAGAAAGTCTCATCTCCTCTCCCACTACCTAACCTCCAATTCCTTCAAGTCCTACTCTAATGCATTCTAGAATCTGGCAAGGAAATCTTAGGAATAAAACTGACAGAGTCACAGCCCTAGCACCAGAGAGTAAAGTCAAAACCAAGGACATGGAGCTGAGAGACAACAGGTAAATAATTGACAAACTTATTTACTCAGAAAAGTGAAGGTTAATTGCATCGTAGTTAATGGCACAAAAATCAATGTGGAATAAAGTATTTTAGAGAATATAAGAATTATGGAGATTTATACATGAACAAATAAGCACATTCGGGCAGAAAAAAGAAAGCTGTCCCATGCTTACAGAATGACATACAGAAAGATGGAAAAAAACAAAAGAAAATTTGAGCCTAGTAGGGAAAAGCTCTATTTAAAAAGGAAAATGACACTAGTATGAAAATCATAATCATAATATTTAAAGTTTTATATAATTACATTACATTCCAGGAGTAAAAATTGTCCCTTATATTAGTGCCACAGACCATCATGAAATGTCCCACAAGACCCTGCTGCCTAATAACTAGGATTACTGGGCTCACATACCCATGAGTAAACACTACTCAAGAAGTGCCCTAAAGTTAAGATAGACCAACAGTGACATCTGCTGCCACGAACTTAGTTTTAAAAGGGCCACTCTTAACATTTTAAAGTTGTCTCTGCCAAACCACTGGACTTCTGCTGTGATGAGTCAGCATTTCTGGAACTTCTGTTTGTCATCTGTGCTATTAGAGGATTTTCTAAGTGAACACAGAACATGGGAAAATGAGAGAATATTTGAAAATGTAACTAAAACAAACAAAAAACAGTGGAGGGGGGAGGCATGAGTGATGAGAAAAAGAGGCTTCACATTGTCTTCTCATCCTGTTTTTCTTTTGGCTAGTAAGTCTGAATTAATTTTGTAGTTGTTAGCAAGTACAAGCATGTCCTCAGTAAAAAGAAAGATTAATTGTTGCCAGCTTCAATGGATTCCAATCCAAAATTTACAGCATAGTATTCAGACCAGACAAAAAAAGTCAAATGATCAAAGGAGAGTATGTGGAAATTGTTTAGAGTTACTTGCTTAGGAAACCTCTTCCTAGTTATCTAATTGTTTACCTTGATTATCCCTCCCTCAACATCTGCTGACCCCCAGGCTTTTTCTTTTCTAAAAGCCAACAGAACAGCAGTTTTGAATCAAACACCAAAGCTGAAAAAAAAACGTAATCACCAGTGTAAAGTGCTCAGTGTGGCTCATTTATATAAACTAACGAATTCAAGAAAATCATGGGTTAATTTATTTGCTTGAGAAAAAAATGGCAACTGACAATGAATCCCAATTCTGGTTATTATGAAAGAAAATGAACAAGAAAGTCAGATGTTGCAATGAAAGAGAAATAAATTAAGAGTTCTAACTTCTAATACAGGTTCTAATCACTCACTAAATGTGTCATATTGAGGAAATCATATGAAAATCCTGTTGTCTCTTCTGCAAAATGAAAGCATTAAACTACATGAGGGATGGAAAATGGGTTTTAACTCATTTTCCTTCTTTGATTAACTAGCGATGCTGCTTATAAGTAACTGTAAGCTGCATCTAGACTCACTGGAAAAGATGCTGACCAATTAGTGGAGTCTGCTGTGAACAATATAAACATGGAGTAGCAGCATGCATGCCACATGTATACCAAGCTCACACTAAATTATTTCTCTCATCTTTTTTGCAGCTATAAATTCTGCCGTTGGCTCTCATTTTTAGTGCCTAATATGTTTCAGCTCTACAAGATGCTCAACAGACATTATTTCCAATCTTCACAATATTTTTGAGTCAAGAAAACTCAGAAACATTAAATAATTTTCTCAAAGCTACACAACATAAGTGGACTCAGTTACTAACATAATATCCCAACATTCTCTATTATGAATAAAATCATAACTTCTCATACTTTGGATCACATCCCCTACCTAGCGTCTTCAAACACAAAAGCTATATTTTAAGATTGTTGTCTTGTTTGATGATGTGTTAATACACCCATATTCCTACAGAAAAAAAAAAGATGAAGATTTTGACATGAAATTTGCCTAGCCCATATAAACATGAAAGGGCAGGTCAGGAGCTTCAGGGAGAAAGTGTCCAATAAAGTGTTTATTTCCCCCCCCCCCAATGAATAGACTAAGAAGGATTGTATGTTGAAAAATTAAAAGTGACGAAGTAAGAAACAATAGCTAAAAGTCAAGCTCAACTTTAAAGCAAATAGAATTCTAAACAAATAAAATCATAGGTATACCAAATCAAGAATTTAAAAGAATCACAAAATCAGGACATTGTGTGCTACATCAACTGGGTCCACATGGGCAATTTAACTGGTACAGTGCTCAGGGATATGCTAAGTGCATGTCAGTGCTCAAAAAAAATTCTTTGATGATGATGGTTTACAAATAATTCAGTAATAGAAATATTTTTGGAAGCTTTGTTGCAACATTTTGGACATCTTTTTAGGTTATAATGTTCAGGTACGGTAGTAAGCAAGACACTCTCATTTTCAGTTAGAACTAACTCTTCCCATTAGATAGCAGAATCCTCAGAAGTCTTTGAAAATTGCATCACAAAACTGGTCTATGCTGACTAATTACAGAATTACACACTGATGACTTCAGAAAATATATTCAGAAACTTTGGAAATTACCCAGCCATATGGATCAGTTAAAAGTATTAGGAAACCAAGTGCAAGAATATACCCATAGGTGAAAAATTATTAGTAGTAGCAAGATTGGATTTCCTGTCAAAGTACCTCATGGTCTATGATTAGATGACTAATTCATTCATGTTTTGAACATTTACAGTTCACCTAGTATGAGCTAGCATTCTGATAGTCATCAGGAACACATAAAATAGTCCTAACTTTGAGTAGACATCTAATTCGAGACAGGTACATAATTAAAATACAAAGTGATAAATCAACTGGATTATGTCTGAAGTACATATGTATTACATGTATTACATGTATCACATGTATTACATGTATTACATTTATTATATGTATTACATGTATTACATGTATTACATGTATTATATGTATTACATGTATTACATGAAAGTGAAGTAATTAATTTTCTCTTATGAGATAAGGGAGGGATCAGAAGGGTGCATAAGTACAGGGCTGAACTGAAGATGCTCAATGTTTCTTAGACCAGTAACTTGCATGTTATTTATGTGATATTAAGATAGCAGAAAGTATTACAATCAAAGTCATAGACTCTTGGACTGGCCTCACTCATATACAAGATAGCTCTGCAAAAAGTAGTTAATAACCGCATGGGGGAAATGATACTTGTATAATTATGTAAAGCAAAGTGTTACATTATTTTTCATCCTTGCTATTATAAGACAATATCATTCCAAGATGTGAGGGCGCATCATAGTATCATGCACTAAGAAAGTCAACACAAGAAAGTCCTGCAAAGAGTGTTATTCCACATGCGCTCTGTGACTAATTCTGTTTGTGGAATGAACTGAGCCATGGTCACAGGTCACATTCAGCCAGCCAAGAGAATGTTTCCAGAGTGTAATTGTTCTGGGCATCAAGACACTTTACAGCGTGTTCCCATTGCTTTTTGATACTTTGTGGCCAGGAGACTGCTGAGAAAATATTATTCACCAGAATTAGACTGGACTAGTCAACCGCCTAGTTATTACATCTCCATGTCAGCACAA